TGTGTATGTGTATGTGTATGTGTGTGTGTGTGTGTGTGTGTGTGTGTGTGTTAGTTAGTCTGTCTCGAAGGGTCGTTACATCATTGAAGTGTCATAATAAACTCTGAGGCCTGTCCGTGCATTACATGTGCATGTGCTCATTAAAGGAATAATTCAGACAAAAATGAAGATTCTGTCATCATTTACTCGCCCTCATGTCGCTCCAAACCCACTTGACCTTCTTTCTTCTGTGGAGCACAAAATAAAATGTTTAGAAGAAAGTTCATGCTAAGATGAAAGAAGCAGGGTTATTATAGTCAACTAAAACTAAAACCATAAAATACATGACTTGAAATGTATTTTATGGGGGAAGTCGTGGCCTAATGGTTAGAGAGTTGGACTCGTACAAAGGTTGTGGGTTCGAGTCTCGTAACCTCAGATTGTAGGTGGGGGGAGTGAATGTACAGCGCTCTCTTCCACCTTCAATACCAGTCACGTCACTTTCACTTTTTCACTTCACTTTCAAATAGATAAAATGAAATAAATGATAAAAACTTAAATGTATTAAAATAACTAAAATAAAAAAACACTTGCAATAAAATAAATGTTACCTGAAATAAAATATAACATGTAAAATATTAAATATCTAAATATATTTTATAAAAAATATATATTTTTCTAGTTTCCAAGGCAACATTTCTCATTCTAATTTATGTTAATATGATGTACTAAAATAAATAAAACTAACATGAAATAAAATAAAAACTATATAGACACATGTAAAATAATAATAAAAAACTAAATGACTATAACTTTAAAATAAAATTCAAATTAAAACAGAAAATGTAAAAATAATTTAAACTATTAATAAAAACTATAATAGTATGTTTCCACCATGGAATAAAAAAAATATAAAATAAAAATAAAAAGGTAATTTCAACATTTAAGACTTTTTTTCGCAGTTCTCACAATTGCAAGATACATTCTGATGAAAAAAAGTCAGAATTGAGATAAAAAGTAGCAATTACCATTTTCATTCCATGGTGGAAACATGTTTAAACACTTTAAAAGTATTATAAAAATATCAAAACAGTAGTTCATTCAACACTTCTGAAGTCGCACACTAGATTTGTGTGAAAACCAGATTGAAATGCATCAGACATGCAGGAACCTGAAGCATGCAGGATTACTTTTATGATTTGCATGGAACTTTTTGAGCTTTCAGTACGAATCATCATCATGCTGAACATCTTTTGTGTTCCACAGAAGAAATAAAGTTAAACATATTTGAAACGACTGAATTTAAATGTTTAAGTCCTCTTTTCTTCGCTCTTTCCTCTTTGCAGTGCATGTCCATTTCTGTCTTTTGTTCTTTCAGCCTCATCCACCTCTCTTTCTCTCTCTCTCTCTCTCTTTCTATCAGTGAGTAAGACACACTTGTCCGTGCATGAAGACAAGAACCGAGTTCCCTATGTGAAGGTGAGCTGAATCACGCTGCATGAACAAAGATCAGCAGAAATCAGACCTTCCTGAAATAAATCAATGAGTTCACTGTGCTGTGAAAACAGAGTCACTTTCAGAACTCCAAACGTCCAAAAAGAGCCTTTACTGAAACCAAACTGAAAAAATTAGATATTGGATAAATATTATTATTCCCCTTCATATGATATATGATGATATGATAATATATGATGAGATTATATTTTCCATTGTATCATATTTCTTATCATGTATGATATATTGTACTGTATAATATATCATATATACTTTATTATTGTATCATATATGGTTTACTGTATCATATCATATTTCATATAATACCATATATGATATATTGCATCATATATCATATCAAATCAAATCATATATTGTATCCTATATCTTAAAACATGTCATATATAGTATCATATACCATATCATATATCATATGGTATCATCATGTATTAAATCATATCATATATAGTATCTTATCATGTATCATATCAAATCATATAATAAATTGTATTGTATCATATACCATATCATGTATTGTATCATATTGTATTATAATGTATATATCGTATAAAATGGGATCATCATATATTGCATAATATAGTATATTGTATAATATTTCATATCATATGGTATCATCATATATCATATTGTATCTTATCATATATCATATCAAATCATTATATATTGTATCTTATATCATATCAAATCATAAATTTATATCATGTAGTATCATATCGCATATCATATGGTATCATCATATATCATTTATTGTATTGTATTATATCAAATCATATATCATATAGTATCATAATATTGCATAATAGATCATATAAAATTATATTATACATTGTATTGTATCATATATATATACATGTATGTGACAGTAAAGTAACATAATATTGTATTATATATCATATATGATTTGACATATGATAATATATCATATATGATGTTATTCTAAGCCTGTAATATGCACTAACACACATGACAGGAATCATTTCAGAACGGACGTGTTGAAATACTGACTGTTGAATGATAACGGATTCATTATATAAATTCATCTTGTGTCAGCTGCTTTCCTAATGAGAGACTGACAGTGAAAGAACAGTGAGATCTCAGGGAACACCTGCTATTATTAGATAAAGACCAGCCATTACATTCAGTGTGTGTGTGTGTGTGTGTGTGTGTGTGTGTGTGCTGTACAGGGTTGTACTGAACGTTTTGTCTCCAGTCCTGAAGAAGTGATGGATGTTATTGATGAGGGCAAATCCAACCGCCACGTCGCTGTTACAAGTGAGTATCTGTAACCCACACTAACAGAAAAGCACAGAAGCATGGCTGTAGCTCAAACAGTAGGTGACGGGTTTGAATCCCAGAGAATGCATGAACTGATCACATGCAGGCCTTCAATGCAATGCAAGTCGCTTCGGATACAAGATTATGGATTGAGACACTGTATACACTGGAATACTAGCATACTGCGCATAATGTACTGCATACTGAATACTTTTTAGTATTCCATGCATGCAGACAATTCACATATTGTGCACAGTATGCATACTGCAAATATAGTATGAGTAGTATGCTAGTATATTTCGTATTCAGCCACTGTGTACACTGAAATACTAGCATATTGCATAGTGTGCATAATGTCCTGCATACTTTCTAGTATTCCATGCAAATAGAAAATTCACATGTTGTGCACAGTATGCATACTGCAAAAATAGTATGAGTAGTATGCTAGTGTAGCATTCCGTATTCAGCCACTGTATACACTGGAATACTAGCATGCTGCTCAGAATGCACTGCATATTGCATACAAAAAAATTCACATATTGTGCACAGTATGCATATTGCAAAAATAGTATGAGTAGTAAGCTAGTGCAATATTCCGGAATTAGCTATTGTTTACACTGTAATTCTAATTTCACACTGCACAGAATGTACTGCATACTGCATACTTTTTAGTATTCCATGCATACAGACAATCCACATGTTGTGCACAGCATGCATACTGCAAAAAAATAGTACAGGTAGTATGCTAGTGCAATATTCTGAAATTAGCTACTGTTTTTTTATACTGGAAATTACACAGTGTATGTGAACAGCCGCATAGCCATGAATCTGTCTGTCTGTCATTCAGGTGAGTAAGACAGGTGCGGAGGGAGCCGTCCTGGATGAAGCCAAGAACATCAACAAGTCTCTGTCTGCGCTGGGGAACGTCATATCAGCTCTGGCTGAAGGAACCGTGAGTTATAGCTGCATATGACTAATATACAGTAGAGATGCATGAAATTATTGCAGTTCAGAGTAGCACACATTTAATAAGTCGCTGTGTGTGAGCAGAAGACTCACATGCCGTACCGAGACAGTAAGATGACGCGGATCCTGCAGGACTCTCTGGGAGGAAACTGTAGAACCACCATGTTCATCTGCTGCTCACCTTCAGCCTTCAACGACGCCGAGACCAAATCCACCCTGATGTTCGGACAATGGTAACACAGCGAACACACACTGAACCACACACACACACACACACACACACACATACTCACACTCTGTGTGTCTCAGAGCAAAGACCATCAAGAACACGGCGTCTGTGAACCTGGAGCTGACAGCAGAGCAGTGGAAGAGGAAATATGAGAAAGAGAAAGAGAAGAACAAGAACTTGAAAGAGAACATCCAGAGACTGGAGGCAGAGCTTAACCGCTGGCGTAACGGTGAGGACATACGTCTCATTTCTCTCTTTCTGACACAAAAACACAACATTTACCATGACAGGTAACAAAGTTATTTCCAAAATTTCAGTAACATGCAACATGATAAAATCATAGTTTTAAATAAATTAAAATTATAATTTAATTATTTATTTGATAATAGTGATGATATTGGTATATAAATATTGGCATGACTTAATATGTAACACTGTAAAAATTATTATTGAAGTACATTTTACAGGAAAATACTATTTCAGTCTTTCTACTCCAAAATTTAATGTTTAATTCAATGTGTTACTTGCCATTTCTTTGTAATTATTTATGAAATTTACTAGCAATTTCTGAGTGAAAATTAAATCCTACACCAATTTTTCAGTGTTTTGGAGTATAGTATTGCAAAAGCATTGTATGCTTAATTTTTATGATTTTAAATAAGATTTTTCAGACATTTACCATGGTAATAACCATGGTCCTCATGGACTTACCTTGGAGCACCATGTAAATACCATAGTACATTTGTTTCGGATAAAAGCACCTGCTAAATGAATAAATGCAAATGTAAAATGGTATATTTCAAAGTATTGTATATGTACCATGGTACCACCACAGTAGTGTTGTGTAAGTGCATCTACCATGAAAATACCACGTTTTTAGACAACTTACAAAATAAGCATGGAAGTACCATGGTACTACCATATTATAAGTAATTAGTGTAAGGATTGCTAAAGAAAAACAGTAGTAAAACCAAGGTATTTAACAAGATGAGAGAGATTATGAAAGCTTCTTATGCCGTTTAGAGCAGTGTTTCCCAACCTTTTTTTAGTCGCGGCACCCTTTGGAAATTTTAACACACACACACACACACACGCAGAACGATGGGATCAGCCTGTGATGGAAAAATTGACTTTCCGATTGATTCTTTTCTTTCTGACAGGATGATGAGATTAATTTACAGTGTCAGCTGGTGGAAAAACTGAAGGAGCAAATGCTGGATCAAGAAGAGGTCAAATACTTACTGAAATCATATTAGAATACTAACTTTATATGGCAAGAATAGTATGAGTAGTATGGTAGTATATTGTTTACACTGGAATATTACCATATTTCAAACTGCTCATAATGTACTGCTTACTTTTTTTAGTATGTATACAGAAAATTGTATGGTATGAATACTGCAAAGATAGTATGAGTAGTAAGGTAGTACAATATTCCAGATTCAGCCACTGTATACACTGGAATACTAGCACATTGCATACCGCATATTGTATACTGCATACTTTTTTTAGGATTCCATGCATGCAGAAAATTCACATATTGTGCGCTGTATGCATACTGCAAAAATGTATGGTATTATGCTATTCCGTGTTCAGCCACTGTATGCACTGGAATACTAACATACTGCATACTTTTTTAGTATTCCATGTATATTGAAAATTCACATACTGTGCACAGTATGCTTATAGCAAAAATAGCATGAGTAGTATGCTAGTGTAATGTTTCCGGATTCAGCCACTGTATATACTGGAATAGTAGCATACTGCGTGGAATGTAATGCATATTTTAAATATACCATGCATATGGAAAAATCATATATTGTGCACAGTATGTATACTGCAAATTAGTATGAGTCGAATGCTAGTGTAATATTCCAGATTCAGCTACTGGAATAATAGCATACTACATATTGCATACTGAGCAGAATGTACTGCATACTTTTTTTAGCATTCCGTGTATAAAGATAATTTACATATAGTGTACGGTATGCATACAGCAAAAACAGTACGAGTAGTATGGTAGCATAATATTCCGGATTGAGCCACTGTACACCCTGGAATACTAGCATACTGTATACTTTGAGAATATTGTGTCCAGTATGCATACTGCAAAAATAGCTATAAACTAAGTAGTATGCTAGTGTAATGTTCCAGATTCAGCCACTGTACATACTGGAATACTAGCATACTGCATACTTTGCGGAATGTAATGCATACTTTATTCCATGCATATGGAAAATTAATATATTGTGCACAGTATGTATACTGCAAATTAGAATGAGTAGAATGCTAGTGTAATATTCCAGATTCAGCTACTGAAATAATAGCATACTACATATTGCATACTGTGCAGAATGTACTGCATACTTTTTTTTTAGTATTCCGTGTATAAAGAAAATGTACATATAGTGTACGGTATGCATACAGCAAAAACAGTACGAGTAGTATGGTAGCATAATATTCCGGATTGAGCCACTGTACACCCTGGAATACTAGCATACTGTATACTTTGAGAATATTGTGTCCAGTATGCATACTGCAAAAATAGTTATAAAATAAGTAGTATGTTAGTGTAATGTTCCAGATTCAGCCACTGTATATACTGGAATACTAGCATACTGCATACTTTGCGGAATGTAATGCAAACTTTATTCCATGCATATGGAAAATTAATATATTGTGCACAGTATGTATACTGCAAATTAGAATGAGTAGAATGCTAGTGTAATATTCCAGATTCAGCTACTGAAATAATAGCATACTACATATTGCATACTGTGCAGAATGTACTGCATACTTTTTTTTTAGTATTCCGTGTATAAAGAAAATGTACATATAGTGTACGGTATGCATACAGCAAAAACAGTACGAGTAGTATGGTAGCATAATATTCCGGATTCAGCCATTGTACACCCTGGAATACTAGCATACTGTATACTTTGAGAATATTGTGTCCAGTATGCATACTGCAAAAATAGTTATAAAATAAGTAGTATGTTAGTGTAATGTTCCAGATTCAGCCACTGTATATACTGGAATACTAGCATACTGCATACTTTGCGGAATGTAATGCAAACTTTATTCCATGCATATGGAAAATTAATATATTGTGCACAGTATGTATTCTGCAAATTAGAATGAGTAGAATGAGTAGCTGAATCTGGAATATTACACTAGCATTCGACTCATACTAGTTTGCAGTATACATACTGTGCACAATAT